TCCTTGATCGCAAAGAACTTCATAGAAGAATCTAGTCAAAATATTTGAGATTAACTATGTTGCATTTAGCTCTGTCAGTATGTTTTGGTCCTAAATTCTGGCCAATATCAATGGTAACCAAAAATAATAAACCACCATGAAATATCTAAAAATTGATTTCCTGAGCAGAACTCTGAAAATTTGATAGGGTTCTGGTCAGGGGACTGGAGTGGGTAAATAGGAAGGGTAAAAAAGAGTAAGGGCAGAAGAAAGGGAACTATAATATATTATCTTTTTGGTGCTGAGTGCCAAGGACTTTCCATTCTCCAACTATTTCAGGTGGAATTTTGGGAGGGCATGTGGTAGAGTGTTTTGGCTAGCATGAGTCATCATAACAACACAGAGGTGTGAATTGTGATTGCTAAGGTGAAATGATTCACTTATTCTTTTACTTGGCACTGATTGTTTACATTTTGGCTTAATCACCTATGTCAAAATGTTTAATTTTCTTCAAGTCTAAATTTTAGGGCTCTGTCAAGATTCTTGGTTCTGAACAATATATTCTTTCTATTTTCTATGGGGAAATGAAGGAAAATATAATAAGCATAACAAATCTAATTCACTATTTAAATATAGCCCAAAGAGTAACTATTGCACTTATTTACAGGGTGGTTGAGCATATTAAATGAGTTAATTATATAAAATAACTATAACAATGCATGGCAATCAGTCAGCACTTCAAGAATTTAGTTATTGTGATTTTTGTGGTTGTCATTTTTCTTGGGTTTTCTTTCTAGATTTAATGTTTCTTTCAATCACTGACATTTTTATGTATATTAATCTTATCTCAAATGAATCCTCATTGTAAAGCTTTGAGACTATGTTTTAAGTAAGTGACAGATAATAGTTCTTTATGGCAGGTTGCATTTTATAAATCTCATGGCTCTGGTGTGTTGAGAAAAATGATTTAAGGCAACGGTGGATGAAAAAAACCCTCTTAAGTACTATGTGTTATGAACACATCTGGCTGCAACTCATTTCTCTGATGGCCTCATCTAGTCCCATGTATATGTTGAGGACCCTCAATTTTGTATCCCCAGCCTGCACCACATTCCTGAACTCTAGAGTCATATATTAACTGCCTACTCATTGCCTCTTTCTGGATGTCTAGTAGACATTGCAAAATCAAACTTAACATATTCATGACTGAGCTCCTGATAGCCTTATTTCTCCAAACTATGTCCATTTATCCATTTCCCCATCTCAGGCAATGGCAACTCCATCCTTTGGCTCAGGCAAAAAAGCTTAGGGTCATCTTTGATTCCTCTATTTTTCTCACCCAGCCTCCACCCCTCAGAGAATTATTCCAGCTCAACATCAAAATATTTCCAGAATCTGACCATTTCTTACTCCTCTGTTGTTATCACCTTCATCTCTTGCCTTGATTTCTCTAATAGCCTCCAATTTTATGCTTCCCTCTCTATGACATTTTATTAATACAAGGACCAGAGTGATCTTTTTATGGTATAAATCTGATCATGTCACTCCTCTTCTGAAAACTCTCCAATGTCTTCCCATTTCATGAGGAAGCAAAGCTCTTCTAATAATCTACAAAGCCCTCCATGATCATGAAGACCCTCCTCTCTGACCCTACCACCCTTCCCCCTTAGTCTGATCCAACCACAATGGCTTCCTTGTTTGTTGTAAATAAAGGTTTATTGGAACACAACATACCTGTTCATTTATATTTTGCCTGTGGCTGTGTTCTTGCTACCTCAGCAGAGTGGGATAGTTGTGATCAAGATGCTATGGCCCATGAAGCTTAAGCTATATAGTATGTAACCCTTTTGAGAGAAAAGCTTCCTGGTCCCTGTCCTACAAAATCAGCTATGGCTACATTTCACTAATATTAGCCTTGAGAAGGCAGAAACTGTTGAATATTCTCCACACTGCATTTGGTGCTCAGCTTCTCAGCTCTTTTTGAAGTGTGTGAAGGGATAGAAGCCAGGCTTCCACCAGGGGTCTAAAGAAGCAGAGGGGATGAGCAATGAGCAGTGATTTCGCATTGCCTAGGGTCACCTCTGAATGAGGGAGTCAGAGAGAAGTAGATGACTGATGGGGAGACTATCCAGGCACCAGAGAGAGAGATGAAGTGAGGCAAAACTCCTTCCGGGAGCTTCCCTGGTGGCGCAGTAGTTGAGAGTCTGCCTGTGGATGCAGGGGACACGGGTTCGTGCCCCGGTCCGGGAAGATCCCATATGCCGCGGAGCGGCTAGGCCTGTGAGCCATGGCCGCTGAGCCTGCGCGTCTGGAGCCTGTGCTTCACAACGGGAGGGGCCACAACAGTGAGAGGCCCGCGTACCGCAAAAACAAACAAACAAACCAAAAAAAACAAACAACAACAACAAAAAACTCCTTCCGACAGTTCTCTAGGGTCTTTCTATATTTGCTCTGCCAGAGGACAGAATTCTGCCTGCTAGTATTTAGTGATTTGGATTTTGTCCTTAGAGACATGCACAGTGCTCCCATTGACTTCAATGGGAGTCACGGACCATTTGGTCCCTTAGACATCTGCGCTGGCTTCAGGTTATTTCACAAACTCCTAAACAAATCCCAGTAAAGTGCTCTTTAATGGGTAGTTAATTCTGGTGTAAGAGCAGGTGCTAAGCACACCTAAGTCCTTTTTTTTCCTTCAGGTTTAGTAAGTTTTCTTTTTATGACTTGATAATTACTGCAACCAAAACCCTGAGTCAAGCAGTATTAAACCCACTCATAGTCAAAAGATGTCTTCTTCTATTGATCTCAGTTGACCTGTTTACTCTCTGGGTTCCAATTTAATGGCTCAATTGATTATTCATTTACATTTTTAATGTCTGGGAGTAAAATCATTTTGACATGAATCATCTCTAACTTAATGGGCAAAATACAGACTCATTTGGATTTTCAATTTCAGCAAGTATATATTGAGCAACTGAGTTCAGGTGAACTTAACAGGGATGAAAGGAGATTTCAGTTTCTTGTAAAAGGTAATAGAAATGATAGTTCGAATTTCCTCTTATGCAAAATGGCTGTCAACTATGGGTACTCACTTAAAATCAAAAGGGTGGTTAGGACATCACCTTTTATGTTATCCTTTTGCAAATTATAATTTTTCTAAATACAATTATGCTCACACCTTTAGTTGAACTCTTTCTTAAATTAAATCCAGATGCCTCAATATTATTCATTGATTTGTTTTCCTTTTAGATGGCCTGGCATTGCTGGAAATGGTAGAAATAGTGAGAGAAAATTATGCTATAGAGTGTACTACATAATGAGAAATAGTATTATTTTATTAACTCGTGGAATTCTCTATTTACAAAGGTAGACAACATGGAAGGCCTTACAATACCTATATATAATATCTATATCTTAAGGCTCTTTAAATATGCTTATGGAGTTCCTTTGATAATATATTTTCTTCCTTCACAGCAAGCAAGTGAAGCTCTAAAAATATGACTGCCTGTGGCTTGTCCTTCCCAGTAGGACTGTTTTGAATATAATATTTATAAATTATATATACAATCACCTACCTTCACTTCTTTCTCAAATGAGATGAGGTATAAGAAAATACATAAATGTATAATTCCAACCACAATAGTCACTTTTATCTGACAGTGTAACATGGAAGCAGAATTTAGTGCCAAATAGAGGAGGCTCACTATTCATCCTCTGAGGAACAGTAAATGCTAGTGCTTGGTGGAAATGAGAGAAAAAAATGAAAAACTATTAAAAAGTTCAAAAGTGCTTTGCTTTGTTAATTTCACTGATAATTTTATTAGCCTTATAACCAAATGTGTAGATTAAGGAAAGGAGCTAATTTCAATTCTTGAAGAAAAAATATTCAGAATGTAAACAGTACTGTGTTAGTTAGCAGATTATAAAAATAAAAAGATAAAATTCCAACTTTTTGGAATTCCTAGTTTCAAAAACATTTAAGCAGATAATTGAAGCATGTGATATAATGCTTATATTTACAACATGCTACTAACTCCTAATGTCGTCTCAGTGAGCTTTAAAAAGAAATGATATTTGGGCGTGATCATGGAGAATGACGGAGCTTATCACCTTGGGGGTTATGTGGAGGATTATCCAAAGTGAGGGGCCAGCCTCAGAAAGAAAGAGTAGGGATGGACTTGGGGGTATTTAAGAAGTGATGTAACAGTACAGGGATGTAGAGCAGCTGGTGCCTGGGTTAATGGAGATGGAAATGGTTAGATGGTGAAGAGCTTTAAATTAGCATTGGACTTTCCTATGTGGACAATGAAGAGTCATTGGAAGAATTTAACTGAATAAAAGGGATCTGGAATTCCAACAAACCTCAAAATGTAAACAGGAGGCAAAGGGGGAAGGCGTCAGTGAGAGAAACTTCAAATGGGAGAGAGTCAGAGAAATGTCTAGTGAGGCACTGAGCACCCCATGTCTGTCCTTCATCATAAAATAAGCAGGCAGAACAAAGCAAGCTTCACTAAGGGCTCATTACTGGGGTTCTTAGTCCTTTTCCCATGAAATGGTCAGATTATATTGATACAACCTCTAACATTATTCCTCTGTGTATGTACTTCAGAAACTTTTCAAGGCATTTATGCAGCTACTTATTGAATTGGAATCATACTTCATGGTCAATTTCAAACTTTCTCTGCATTATTTAAGAATGGAGTCGTGGTCAGTCTTAACAGAGTTGGATACATTAAATTACATCTTTAATATTCAGATTGGATTACAACATATATTAATAAGGTGATATTTCTTTTAAAAAAGTGCCTTAAGTTTGATGATGAATGGGTCATCAGAAAGGGTCAACTCACCAAAAGGAAAAGGAATTAGCTACACATGGCATTTCCCAATTAGAATACTCAATTAGCTTCATATAAAAGAACATGTTCATGCACTCTGCCTGATGAGTCAAGGCCTGTAGCAAATTCTGGTTCCCTTTTTCCAGACCAGACATGGCCATGTGAGGGCTTGTGTGAGTCCCATACCTGTGCTGTCTTCATACACCACGGTCACTGTTTTCCAGTTGTAGTAGAGGACCAGATCCAGGACCGCCCTGCTGATAGCTGCATAATCTGGGTAGAGGTTGACGTAAAACAGGTCTTTGTTGTCCACTGAAGGGTGTTTCCAGCGAGTCTGTATATGTGGAACTTCGAGAGCATTGCAAATAGACTGCACAGCACTGACAGAGGAGCTATGGGAAGGGCCAAAGAGAGCAGCCACACCAAGAGCCAGCTGGTCACATGCTGATGTCCACAGACAAAGGGGGTGGGGGGGTGGAGAGGGAAAGCAGGGAAGAGGGGAGAGAAAGAGAGAGTTCTGTGAATTTAATCTTCCCTTTCATGGTTCCTCCTTATTTTTGCTATTGGAAACTATTATCCACTCTCCATCGGTATGCTGAGGAAATATGCTTCATCCAGCTTCCAATATTCCTGAGATACTAAATATTAGAGATGTAAATGGAGAAATGATTAGCAACACATCACAAGGCCAATTCCCTGCAAACAAAAATGAGTTGTTGGTCTCACTTCATTACTTTTTTTTTTCTTTTTAATTTGGTCATGCCACATGGCATGTGGGATCTTAGTTCCCTGACTAGGGATCGAACCCCCAGCCCCTGCATTGGAAGCATTGAGTCTTAACCACTGGACTGCCAGGGAAGTCCTCACTTCATTACTTTTAATCAGATGGAGTCTAAATCTCTTGCTTGGTGTGGTGTTACCCAGAAGTACTCAGAGCTATTCTTTAAGCCATTTGCCAAGTGAATGTCATATAAATCAAGTTCTGTCATCTGACAATGTGGCAATGAAGGTATTAATGGGTCAGAGAATTCAGAAGACTCTCTGGGTGGCTGCAGAGTACTTTAGTTCCAGTCCTTCCCAAAACTCAGGAAGGAGGTCCAGGGTATTGAAAAATTGCTAAAGAATGTTAAGTGATACTGATAGCTAATTAATTATAGAATAATAGATTAGCATAGCTTAAAGGGGTCTTAGAAGACATTTTCTCCAACCCACTAATGTCATAGGCAATGAAGTGAGTCAGGGTCACTGGACAATGGCAGAACTCACCAGAGCCTAGGGACCCAGCTCAAGGACAGGCTTCTTTCTATTTCAATATCAGCCAACATGTACAAAAAAATTAATTTTAACGTTTATTTATTTTTTGCATTATAAGATTATATACACATACTGAGATAATTTAGAATATTGAAAAGTGTAAGGAAGAAAAAAGGCTCTGAAATTCCATTATTGGGATAATATCTATTCATAGTTCGGTGTTCTAATTTATTAAAAAATTGAACATGATATAGATACAGTTTGATACATTGCTTTCTGTATTTAACACTAAATTTAATGCTAAAAGCACACCCTTTCCCCTAAGTCATCACAAATTCTGCAAAAGTATATTTTTAGTGTCATAGAATAGGCTAATCTGTGAGTATGTCATTACTTATTTAACTAGTCCTATGATACTGAATATTTAAGCTGCTCCTAATTTTTGGTTATTATAAGTAATATTATAAGCACTTACCTTAGTTCTTATATTTTTCTCTAAATTTTGCATTATTTTCTTTTAGTAGATTGAAATTTGTAATTAAAGGGTATTGATATTTTTAAGTCACTTGATACATATAAACCAAATTTCCTTCCAGAAATGTTGGGACAGATTATCTTCTATAACAATGTAAAATAGTGCCTACTCATTTTATGCTGGCATAAATTTATGCTGGCATTAAATATAAATGTAAAAACATTTCAAATTTACATTTTAGTTCTAGTTTAAAGGGATTTGGACCTGCCAAGAAACAGTAGTTGAATATTTGAATTAAATAATAGCAAGATTTATAAATGAAATTGTCAATTTTTATCATAATGCCATCACACAAATAAAAATAAGTAGAAAAATTATATGGCTTTGTAAAAATTATCTGACTTGATTTAGAGAGAAAAATTAATAATTCATATTTGAGAGCCATATTTCAAATATCTGTGGGACAGCAAATATTCACAAGGAACTTTCTGACACTGTGCTCTTCGGTACTGAATTATCACATGAGGTATGAAGACATAACTTTCTGTATTAAGTGCTAGAAGTGAAAACTGTCCTCAGAAGCTCATTTTCTGGATGTGCTTTCATTGGTTAGCAAGAAAAAATGAGGGCATGAAAGTATATGAACTATTACTTCATCTAGCGTAGGCGGTGGGTTGAGATTCCTGCTAATATTTAGCTCTGGGATGCTAATATTACTTGACAAAAAATCAATCCTTTTGAATTCTGTTTGCCAGCAAATTACCAGTTTTAAGAAGTTTTGGGGGTGTTTAATTTACAAGTATGGCAGGTACTTCAGGTCACAAAAATACTTTGGATTTTAAATGTGGTTGGCTTTCTGGGGTATTTATTCAACAATGTTTTGTATGAGTGTGTGTGTGAGAGAGAGAGACAGACAGAAACAGAGAGAGAGAAACAGAGACAGACAGAGACACAGAAAGGGCGATATGGAGAGAGGAAGATAGAGATCTAACACAGAGATAATTTATGTGGAGATGCCTTGTAAACTTTAAAGTGCTGTATAAACATAACGTTTTATTATTTGTCATAGACAACTCTGACCTGTATAGTACCTACAACTCCATCCATCTTTGAAAATACAATATTCTTATACTAAGATTATGCCATAGAGTAAAAAAAAAAAAAAAAAAAAATCATTATACTATTCCATTTTCATCTGTGCTCCCAGGAGAACAAGTTTCACATTTTATTTGTAAAGGACACTAAGAATCTTGCAGAAGAGTCTAATAGGTTCAATCCAAACTGGGTTAATTCTATGTGGAAACAACCAATATTTAGTTACTTAGAAATCAGCATGAACATGGCATTCATTGTATTCCATTTACTTGTGTGTGTTTGATGGGCAAAGCTTTCCTCTAGGAGAGAAAGAGCCTCTCCTATTCTGGGGTGATGTACCCACACAAACTCCTGTATGGAGGTCCAACAACTCCCTAGTTAGAGGCCAGCTTTCAAGTATGTCAAACATGGCTTCAAAAAGTAGTCTTTGAAGTGTCTGAAGGATGTGTAAACAAGCCCCACCCTTCCAATGAATCTTTCCATGAGGCAAACCTTGCAGCCTGCGTACAAATTAGATTACTTTTTAGGAACTTGTCTTCTGTTCAGATGCAAAAGGGAATCAAATGCAGAGATTGTTCTCCTAGGTTTAATTTTCTTTGACCCCAAGTCCCTTGCTTGCTTGATTGCTTGTACCGTTCCATTAATTTTTTTCTTAATTTTTTCCTTTTTTAAAATTGATGTATAATCAACATATAACATTTCAGGTGTAAAACATAATGATTCAATGTTTATAATCTTCACATTTCTATGATCTTGTGGAAAGGGGTTAAAAAATTATTTGAGAGGATGGTAGGTAAACCCAGTAGCTCACAACCCGTTAAGATTCAGGTTGTGAATTCTGTGTGTTGTGGGCATTTCCACATGCTAAGTGTGTATGACCTTCCACAAAGTTTTATTTGACTACACTGTACAATTTCATGGTGGTATCTCAGCCTCAGGAAGGAAAAACAGATCAAGCTTGACATTTTCCATTCACAGCTGAACCAGTTAATCATAGAGTGGAGGGCACTGAAGGCTAAGCTAATCAGAAAGGCCCAGCAAACAGAGCTAGGCAACATCCATTAGGATGCTTCAGATTGTGCTGGACAGTGACATCTTGCACCGATAGTTCCTGCAAACCCATTTGCACAGAGATGTCCACTTTGAAAAAGAGCAGGTAGCAAAAAGAAGTTGACTTGTAGAGCAGACATATCACCCAAAGAAGCTTTTAAAAGTGTGAAAATAGTTACCTCTCCGTGAGGCTTCAAAACTATCAAAAAGGTTAATTCTCTGAATGTCATAGGTTAATGTGGTGTTAGGCATCAGGGTTCGATTTCTGTTAATGCTGGTGACTGCAAACTTGAACGCTAATTCTTCAACATTAACAGGTTCATTTTCCACAGTTTCAAAAATTCCTCCTGCAGAAGCAAAAGAGATGCATGAGAAGCATTAGTTACGTTATTCATGTGCATTTTTTAAAAAGAAGAATATAAATGATACAAACAAAAGGCCCAAAA